TTAAGGACAAGCGTGATTTGGGCTTATTTCTGTAGAGTTATTTTGCTGTGTAGTGTTCTGAAATTTTTAGAGTTCGTTGTTATTTTGCTAGGGCTATGTGTTCTGAAGTTCTTTTTAGAGTTCGTTGTTAGGTTCCATGTTATGTGTTCTGATTTTTTTAGAGTTCGTTGTTATTTTGCTATGCTATGTGTACGAAGTTCTTTTAGAGTTCGTTGTTAGGTTGCCATGTTATGTTGGTCTGATTTGTTTAGAGTTCGTTGTTATTTTGCTATGCTATGTGTTATGAAGTTCTTTTTAGAGTTCGTTGTTAGGTTGCCATGTTATGTGTTCTGATTTGTTTAGAGTTCGTTGTTATTTTGCTATGCTGTGTGTTCTGAAGTTCTTTTTAGAGTTCGTTGTTAGGTTGCCATGTTATGTGTTCTGATTTTTTTTTAGAGTTCGTTATTATTATTTTTTTTGTGTGCGTTCTGAAGTCTGGCGTTTCCACACGAAAGGTTTTCCGAATCGAGGCTGTTGTTTTCTGCCACGTTATTCGGAAACATCGGCGCTTGCAACAATCGGCAAGTACCTTCTGGATGATCCGACGAGGGTTTTTGGTGTAAAACGGGGCACCCTTCTCGCTTATCAACATGGCGGGGGTATAGTGGTGGCATCTTTTTAAGACACGATCAACCGTTTTGTCAGCCGGACTCTCCTGAATCATTTCGCTTTGCTCTCCCTCTAACCGCTATCCACTCTCCACTTTCCCACACATCTTACAGCCTTCACCCTAACACCCTCTACCTCTACCTCTACCTCTACCTCTACCCTCTCCTACCCTCTACCCTACCCTCTACCCTCTACCCTCTACACCTACACCCTCTGCCTTCTACCGTCTTCCTTCTATCCTCTTACCCTCAACACCCTACCCCAACCCTCTACCCCTACCCCAACCTGTACCCACTGCCCTCTACCCACTGCCCACTGCCCACTGCCCACTGCCCACTGCCCACTGCCCGCTGCCCGCTGCCCGCTGCCCGCCACCCACCACCCACCACCCACACCACCACCCACACCCACCACCTGCTACCATCTCCCCACAACCACTATCCACTATTTACCCCTGCTACCTACCACCCACCCACTTCTATCCACCATCCACATCACACCACCCGCTACCCACCACCTACTACCCCACCACCCACCCCCTAATCATCACCCACCCCCTACCCCCTACTACCACCACCCACCCCCTACTACCCACAGCCCGCTACCCACTACCCACCATCCACCACCCACCCGCTACCCCACCATCCCACCCACCCGCTACCCACCATCCACCACCACCGCTACCCACCATCCACCACCCACCCGCTACCCACCACCCACCCCCTACTGCCCACCAACCCATCCCCTACTGCCCATCACCCACCCCTACTGCCCACCACCCACCCCCTACTGCCCACCACCCCCCTACTACCCACAGCCCGCTACCACCATCCACCACTCACCCGCTACCCACCACCCACCCCCTACTGCCCACCACCCACCCCCTACTGCCCACCACCCACCCCACCCCTCTGCTGCCCACCCCCCACCCCACCCCTGCTGTCCACCCCACCCCCTACTGCCCACCACCCACCCCTACTGCCCACCACCCACCCCCTACTGCCCACCACCCACCCCCTACTGCCACCCACCCACCCCCTACTGCCACCACCCACCCCCACTGCCACCCACCACCCCCTTACTGCCACCACCCACCCCCTGCTACCATCACCACCCCTTGCTACCTTCCATCCACCACCCACTTCACACCACCCGCTATCCACCACCCACCCCCTACCCCACCCACCCCCACCCACCACCCCACCCCTACTACCCACTACACACCACCCGCTACCCACGCACCCTACCCCACCACCCGCAACCCACCACCCGCTCACCTGCTACCCACCCCCACCCCCTCCTACTACTCACACCCCCCCGCCACCCACCACCGCTATCTACCACCCACCTCCCCCCAACCCGGCGATACCCGGGGCAGACACCTGAGGCAACCGCTTAATTAGACCACCGCTGCGCTTGAATAAGATAACCTCAGAGCGTCCGCGTTTTCCTCGTTTTAACCGATCACCTTGGGCCGATATCCGAGTTCGTCTTGTATTGGGCTTAGATCTGCGTTTTAAGCTTATATTAGGATTCTCTGATTATCCTGGTATTAATATTATTATCATTATCGTTATCGTTATCGTGTTGTTTATTAT